ATGCATTTCAAAAAATTGCGAGATATTTTGAGATAGAAATTTCTGAAATCGAGTTTTTTTATGATTATGTTTGAAACAAATAGCTTTTTTTCGGTTCATTTGTTAATTTGTTATAATTTACTACTAATCGAATGTGTTACAACTGTGTTAATTTACAACTGTGTTGATTTACTACTCTTCTAACGTCAAAACACATGCTATCAAAACGCTGTAACGGTGCCCCACCATTATTGAGGTGCCGCACCATGAAAATTCGGCACCAATATTTGCGACTTAATAAGGTCGTATTAATACAGTAGCTTGGAAAGTGTAATAAAATGAAATTTAAATAAAAATTAAAATTAATTTTAAGTGCTTTTTTAACATGAACGTCACAGTACAGAAGTGATGTTTCAAGTTGTATAAACCGGGCATAGCCAACTAACAGTTGGAAAAGAGTAACGAACGCAAGGAAACTGAAAAAGAAACTGACTTGTTTTTCAAGAGCCTTCAATTTTTGAATTTCGAAGAAAAAAACAGATGGTCTTAAGGCTCTTGGAATTTAAAGAACAATTTATGATGGACACTTTTTTGTTAAAATTACCCCTATTTGAGAAAATTTTCATTTCTCTGGGACATCTGAGGATAAATTTCCATTTTCGAATTTGGAAGTCGATCAGAATTTTTCGTGATCTTTACACTTTTGCTGTTCGATAGTGGAATTTGTTTTCCTTTTAACTATGGAAATGCACTGAATTTAAAAGGAAATCTTAAGTCAAGCAGCGAAAAATCAAAAATGAACGGAACAAATTTTAAAATTTTTACCTGAAAAAAAAACAAACAAAAAAAGTCAGGGCTCTTTTCCAGTTCCCCCTTTCAAAATACCGAGTTTTATGTTTGTTTTACGTGTTATTACGGCTAAATGCGTGATGCTACGCTGTAAAGTATGAAGAAAAAATCTGATCAGAATTGTCGATATGTTCACCACGCTAAATTTCATTGCACTATGACAACGTTAAATAGACTTTTGAAGATTGAATTTGAAAGGGGGGAAAGAAGATTTTTTTTAAATATTATATGATATTTAAAAAAGCAAACAGACAGTGGGAAAGAAGAATTCACCAAAATCATAAAAATAGACTTGTTTTGTGAAAAACTTTCAATTTTCGAAATGTAGAGATGTTTACAGATGGCGTTTAAGTTCTCGGAATTTCATTAACTATTTTTTTTGGAAATTTTAAATGAATTAAACGCAATTTGCGGAAACTGGGTCAAAAAGTGGATATCATAATCCGCTGTGCAATCTCAAAATAAAAATCAGCTATCGAAACTATCGAATCAAAATCTGCTATCGTAGTCAAATGAAATTGAAATAAAAGGAACAAAAAGTCAAAACGCAGAAGATCGATTCCGATGTGAACGATTTTTTCTTGAAAAAATAATGACCTATATGAATGTCATCACTCACGTTCATTGACAAAATTACCAACATAAGCGAAGCTGCGCTTCGCAAACACTAGCAAGACGCAAAAAGCAGCTCTATCAAGTGAAAAAAAAAGATAGAAATAAGCCTCGAATTAGTATACTTTTGCTACATATGGGCTTCTTTTCACGCCCTGTTTTCTCGGCCAAAAACATTTGACAACCGGCAAACACTAGTCATAAGCTAACGTATGCTAACAAATTGCCAATCAATGCAGCAAAAGTGGCACCAAATACAGTTAGACACAATTTTGCAAGTAGTATTTGGAACACAGTAAACCGAAGGCAACCACTATTTTTGCATGTAATAAATTGGAAAGCATAAAGCCACATTATGCATCAATTCTGAAAAAATTCAAAAAATGCGAGACAAATTAAGTTAGAAAATTTCTGTAATCGAATTTTTAGTGGTTGTTTTTTTTTCAAAAAAGTAACTTTTTCAGTTCACTTGATGAACTTCAAATGAATCAACTGAAATAACTTATTGCTATTCGAATGTCAAAGCACATGCTATCAAAAAGCCCTGCAGGTGCCCCATAAGTGGCACCAATATTTGCAACTTAGGTTAGAAAAAATAGTAAACGTAGTATAACACTAACGCTCTCTAAAGTTCGCTACTGTGAATAAACAGTATTAGCCAACTTGCGCGCGTTCATACGCAATTCATGAAAAGATCAGTGCGTGAAATTTGTTGTATGATTGAAATTAGTTAATCTGCACCGTGCTTTCAAGCGGCGTGAGGTAGTTTGAAAACATATAGTGAGAGAACAACTGTTTTAGCAGGTGAAAAACAAGTATGAACAAATAAATTTTTCGCTGATTAAAGCATTTTTGGAACTGTTTTTTTTTTTACGCACTCGGGAAATTAATTCACAATCAGAGGGCCACCAGGTTGCGTGAAAAAACAATTCCGAAACTACTACTTAAAACAGAAACGATTGTACTTAATCCTTGATTTTATTCTTAAACTGCAAACAGATTTTAAATACAAGAATGAAAGACTTGAAAACAGTAATTTAAAGCGTGACACAGGCTTTTTACTGAATAACATATCAAAGAGAGTTGAAAAGAATAAATAAACTCAAAGAGACCAAAAAAATTTTACTGACCTTTTTCAACTTTCACACTTAAGAGAAAAAATCACCTTTAAGCTTTTGGAATTTTTTGTGATCCGTCTTTTTTCATAGCACTATATATGGCAAACTTTTATTTAAACACCACTTTCGACAGTCATTCATGTTTCTTTTTACAAGCATTCGTTTTTCAAATGAAACTAGCGTATAACGAACCTCCGGTACTCATAAAAAACCGCATATATTGGAAATAAGATCTGCATTTTTGAGTTTACTCTGACAGTATCCAATTTCAAGGTTCGTAATTATAAATTTTGCAAAATTTAATTCAAATATTTTATACAAATTTTGCAGAACCATAAAATTTTGTGAAGTTTTATATACGTTCTTCGAAAAATTTGAAATGAACTAAGAAACGTCACATCTGAGAAGCTAAAAGCAATTGAGCAGTCGCATTTGGACGCAAGACTAGCAACTTTTGAGAGTACTCTTACAGTACCCAACTACAACGTTTAGAAATTCAAACTTTGAGAAACTTCACCTTAATATTTCTAAAAAAGGTATTTTTTTGAGAACCAGAAAAAAGTTCACATCTCGAAAACTACCAAGATTTCAGCAGTCTCATTTGATGGCAATATGCGCAATCTTTGAAAGTACTCTGACAACACATAACTACAGGGTTGGGAATTTCACTTTAGTGAATTATTTTGTAATTTGAGTTTTCTGAAAATTACCAAAAAATTCACCAAAATCGTCTTATTTTTTAAAGTAAAAAGATTTGGGCATTCTTAATTATGGGTTAAATTTGCAACCCCTGAGATAACTCTGACTGCCCCCAACTACAAACTTTTGAAAAAACTAATTTAATTTTCATGGAAATTCTTTGAAAAAGTCACAAAAAATGTCAAATCCGGAAAACTGCAAGATTTTGAGCAGTCATATTTGGAGGCATAATTCGCAACTCCTAAGAGTACCCTGACAATATCCATCAACAAGAATGAGATCTTCAACGTTTTAGAATTTTTTAAAATCCAAGTTTTTGAAAAAATCTTAAAAAACGTCTCATCTCAAAAACTAAAAGGATTTGAGAAGTGAGATTTGAAAGCAAGATTCGCAACCCCCTAAGAGTACCCTGAGATCACCTAACTACATGGCGAGAATTTCAAAATTTGAGAAAATTTTTAAAATCAGTTTTTCTAGAAATTTTTGAAAAATCTCGAAAATTGCCTATCTCGTAAACTAAAAGGATTTATTTATTCATATATGGAGGTCAGAATCGCAAAACCTGGGAAAACTCTGACAACATCCCACTATTAGGTTGCTAATTTCAAACTTGATGAAATAAACACTGAATTCAATCTGGAAAATCGAAAAAAAACCTTAACCATAGCGATATACGATATAGCTTAAACGTGAAACTCTTTTGTTAAACATGCAAAAATAATACGTGGAAAAAACCTAAGCATGGCGAGATAGTGAAGCCCGCATTTAAAAATATACTAGATAGCTGAAGGTTATTAATTTTCAGTATTTTTTGCGAGGCCAAATAAGTCTGTCTGTATACCTGCTTTTTAAAATTAATTTGATTATGTCTCTTACCCGTCTCCTAATTTTTTAACTTTCAGCTAACTAGTATATGAGACGGGTAGACAGACATAATCAAATTAATTAAAAAAGCAGATATACAGACAGATATACTTATTTTGAACTACTGAAAATTGATAACCTTGCGGAAAACTAATTGAAAATTGTTTTAAGCATCGCAATATATGATATAGATTAAGCATGAAAAAACTCGTTCGCAAAAACATGCAAAATTATTATGCTTAAACAAGGGAGATAGCTGTCACTCCCATTTAAATATAGTATAGATAGATAGATTTCGTAATTGCATAGTGTAATTTGCATCCCTTAAGCAAATGAATTTGAATTGAGCTTTAAAAAATCAAACCAGGAAAACGCTTAAAAAATCAAACGCAGGAATTTTTTTGACACTTATATGAGCTTCTAAAAAATTTCTGTGGAAAGCTGATGATCCAACTTGGATTCCAATGAGTCTTCCTTGAGGTACTTACTGTTTCGTGTATGGGTTGAAGTAAAAAGAAACAAGCAAAATATCAAGATCCTGGCGTCACTTCTTATGCATTATCATTTCATATAACTGATGCAGTATTTTTAACCATTCAATTCAGATTTCTACTTGTTACTTTTTTAAGTTTGTGTTGAAACTATCAAACTGTTCTTGCAAACAAGCCTCAAGGAGCTATTGAGCAGTACAATGTTGCCTCAAGTTCTTTTAGATTTTTCTCATTTAACACAAGCTGCATTTTCAAATCTTTTTCGTTTTTTTTTCGTAGAAAACTTCTATCGTAAATGGGGTACACACTTAGCCGGCAAAAAATACTTTCAAAAATAAATTAATGTACAAATAAGTGATTTTTGAATTTCACAATAATTATGCGCCGAACTAAAACAAACAGAGTCGCATTAATCTGCAAAACTAACTGATTCATGTGAGCTATACGACCCTGTTTAGTTAGAACAGCTAAATACAGTTAATTTTACTTCTTTATTACATAATTCTGCACCTTCGTTTATTAATTGTTTTCAGTTTTATGTGAAGACTAATTTTTACATGAAAACAGAAGAACAATCAAACGCAAATTACACTTTTTAATTTGTTTCTCCTGGAAATATACATTGCGGAAATTACAACATTATTATCTGATACCTTCTTAAAAAATAAATCATCTAAAAAATTGTTTTGTTTTTCAACTCTTTAATCCCTTGGTAGACAGTTTATGTTGATATACATGTAGCTTCTTCCTTTTCGGCCAGCGAATGAATATGACTATTTCTTCGTCTCATCTGCAAATTCACATTGCAGAATAACAATTCCTATTTACACACACACCGCATTGCAGACAGCATATAATGGTAATCAGAGAAAAACTGCCAGTTCTGACACAGGTATCCAAACAATACTGAAGTACCATTCGACAGCATTCTCTTTTGTTGTTTTCTGCAGCAAGATTTCCAAAATAACATAGCTTGTCTAAGGTTGTTCTGATTGCTAAATTGTTTTGCTGGGATACTGAAAGTGAGATAGTAAATTGTAGTTCAATCAAAATGGAAATTGGCTACAGTAGCCAAACGATACACATCTCTACTGGGTATTTAGCAGATAAAGAAATAGAGTAACATAGAGACGACAGAAGAAGACGACTATTGACTGAATGATTCTAAGAGATCCTTCGTCCTTTTTTCTCTCTGTTTCCTCCAAAAACAATCACATTTTCACTTAAAACCTCCCTATAACAAATCTTCCTTCCACTTCGATAGGATAGAAAAACGCTTAAATTATTCTGCGGTTGTCAATGTTTCGAGTTGGCCACACAGTTTTGAGATGTGTTGTTGTTATTTTGGTTCGAAGTTGAGTTGTGTGATTCTGAGCCAGAGTGTGTGTCTACTGCGTTGTGTGTATCTGGACTGCTGTTGTTCGCCGCCTCGCTCTCTTTCTCTCTTAGGAGTCGGTCTACGTCCAGGTGTTTGATGTCCAGTTTGCCTTTGACCATGATGTTCCTGTCTCCCACCTCGCTCTTCACAACATCCCACCTACGCCTGTTCAAGTGCACTTCATCCAGAGCCTCTTGAGTCTCAGGCAAAAAGTCACTCAGCAATCTAAAGCAAAACTTACTATTTAGACATGACACGAAAACAAATAGGTCAAAATTATTCGGTCGACGTATCAAGGAAAAATCAGAAAAAAATTATTCACGTCTTGAATCAATCCTAGAACCTTGTCAAGCAGCACAAACTAAGAAAAGGTTGAGGAAAGGCGGATCGCTAGCGAGGAAAGGCAGCCTTTTCAAAAATCAAAGTTTTGATCCACGTTTTACCCTGAAACGCCAGAAAAATCCATTTGAAGAAGCAATTTCTGCACCGCAGGCAAATTTTTGCAGAATTGAGCCAGTAATGGACTTCTATCTCAAAATCAAAGTAACTGGCGCCGATGGCGCCTTTAAAATTAATAGGTTAGTCAGCCCAAAATGGATGTTGTAAAAAATGCCAAGGGGAACTCTTTGGGCACAGGTACCGAATTCCCGTGGAGGGAGGGGGCGTCTTGCCTAAATCCTACCCCTTATTAGGTTGTTGGTATGGGGATAAGAGGATGCTTACTGGAAGGTGGGTATTGCGACGTTGTCGAGGAAGCTGATCTGCTGTTCTGGGATGTGTGCCCTGTGCCTGTCCATCATCTCATTCGGCTGAGCTCCCATCTCCCTCTCCAGGTCTCCCTGGTTGAAAAACTCCTCGTACAGACTCTCCTGCGCAAAACACAAACATCAGCATCATCACTACAGAAATAAAAACAAATTATACAAAGTTGAAACTAAACTACTAGAACACCACTACAGTAAACTGCGCCCAAATTTCTGTAAATTAAGTGAATACTTCACAATTTATGAACTTATTAACAAATTTATTCCATGAGCTGTCGGACCGGATTTGATAGGGTTACTAACTGCGACTTCGATGAGATTGTTCCAGTCTTTGGTCTGATCTGACAGGTCACACGAGGTCATGATGAGGCATAGCAGCATCTCGTGGTGTTTGTCGTCGTCCACTTTATACCCATGAATGGCCATCTCCTTCAGTTTGCCCATGATCTTGAAATGGTGGGCGAGGTCGGTAGCGAGGATGTTGTTCTGCAGGATGTCGAGGGCTCCTTTGAACTGGTTGTCAGGAAGGGAGGAGAATATGTTGCAGCTGCCACTATTGAGAATGGCCACTGTCTGGGCGAAGTGGTGTCTCTCCATCACCGAGCCCTGTGAGCTGTACAGAGAAGCTAGCGTGCTTTTCTAAACATACAAACACAAATATTTACTCTCAGATGTTCTATACGTTTTGATACATTCCTTAACTTTGAAAGGGAAGCCGGCGTAATACTCGTAAATATTTCGGTCCAAAAATCTATCCACATTTTCATTTAAACAGTTTTTGTCAAAGCGCCACTAACTCGCAGTCACAAAAATGTATTTGTAATTAAAAAGGTTTAAAAAAATTCTGAAAGCCTGCATAAATAATCTAGCTGCGTTCCTGACGGAAATACCTCAATAATATTTAAATTTAACTCTCATTTTAGCATGAAATTACCATTTAAGGGATATATATTAATTTCTTTCGATTGTGGAGCTCAAGAAAAGAAAACTCCAAAATTGATTTTCGACAAAAAAACTAATTTTAAATTGACAAATTTGACGCCCTGGGAGGATAATTTCCTTTTTCTGCGATAAAATGTCTTTAATTGAATTAAAAAGTTGTATGCAAATATACAGTTTCATCAACACTCTGATTATTTATTCATGACGATCTCTCTTCGCAGTAATAACGCTAATTGATTTTGTCATCGCGAAGCAATACAGTTTGTACAATTCAGAAGGCATATCTTTTCGTTGAGCTCACATTTTAGTATATCATGAAGATCATCATCAGCATATATTTTTATTCACCTTTGTTTGTATTGAAATGTATTCAGTTCATCATCAGTTAGAGCAGGCGATGAACTAGTTTTTTTCTCGAAGTGACTGGAAGTAATTGGACAGGCTGTTCCAACATAGTTATAGGTTGTTTTTTAACTTTTCACATCCAGAAACTGTACTATAAAAATGATCTCGTCTGACTATGATGATCTCGTCATATATTTGATGGCACTCTACGATTTCGACAACCATAATTGTAACTATTAGAGTAACTGTGTGTATTATGCAGCTGATGATGGTGGTCGATGTGTGTTGGGGGCCTTACCGAGTTGATTTCGAAGGAGTTATTGGTGCCTCTGTGGTCGATGTCATGACACAGACATGCAATGAACGTCACAAACGTCTCCAGGTCACTGAAATACATCCACACACACTTTAAAATTGACTCAATTGATCCTCATTGAGTGTGACATTCAGAGAAACATAGCCAACAGAAAGCTGGAAAAGGGTCAATGCACGCAAGTAAGCGGGAAAAAATAGTGACTGTTTTTTGAAAAAAATCTCATCTTTCGAATGTCCAAGAAACCATAAATGGCCTTAAAGCTTTGAACTTCTAGAAAAATTTATGATTGACACTTTTTTGATAAAACTAACTCAATTTGAGAAAACTGGATCAATAAGTAAACTTCTAATTTCGCTGAGAAAATGATACATAAAATCCATTTTCGAAATTAGAAGTTGATCACTTTACACTTATCCTGTTCGATAGTGAAGTTTGCCTTCTTTTTAACAAAGGAAAAAATCTGAACTTAAAAAACAATTAAAATATACAACACAAGACGCTTTTCGCCTGGGAAGCCACAAATGGAGTTTACCGACAATTAACGGCAATGTAACGCTGATATTTCATGTCGATGGCACTAAGCATAGTTAATGCCAAATTGTTGGCGATTTGATTTTTGATAAAAGAATCTGACACAGATGCGAAGCTTAGCTTCGCAAACACTAGCAATAACATGACAAATATCAGCTCTAGAAAGTGCATTGAAAAAAATAGAAATAAGCCTCGAATTAGCAAAAACTCGGCTAGGCCTAGGATTCGATCTGCGACCAACTACAATCAAGAGATTTTGAGTCTCACGCACTAACCACTCAGCCACGCACGCTTAACCAGCGACAAACAGTAGCCACAACAAAGAAAGCAGCTACATATATATACATAACAAATCGCCAAAGCTATTCAGCAAAAGTGGTACCAAACACCAAGACACAATTTTGCAAGTAATAATTTAGAATATACCAATCCACTTTGCATGTAAAAAAATGCAAAGCATAAAGCCACATTGTATGAATTATGCATTTCAAATCATTGCAAGATGTATTGAATAAGAAAATTTCTGAAAGAGTTTTTATCATTGTTATGTTGTTTGAACCAAATAGCTTTTTTTCGGTTCATTCGATGAATTAAGAATGCATCAACTGTGTTACCTTATAAGTATTCGAATGGCAAAGCATATGGTATCAAAAAAGCTGTAAAAGTGCCCAAAAAGGGCACAAATATTTGCGACTTAATTAAGAAAAAAAAAGAAGTTTCTTAATAAAACACTAAGCTGACGCTAGTTTAAATAAAATTAAATTGCCAAAAAACGCTCGTTCTGACGTCCTAAGCCAAATTTGACCCGTTTCAGAACAAAAAAAAATAATTAAACTACGAACCATTAATTTCTGATGCTTAGAGGTAAAAAGCTCGAGACTAAAAATATCGTCGAACAATTGGGATTACCTACACATGATGTGACTAATAAAAAAAGGATGTGAATAGTAGAAGAAGAATTTATTTCTCATTGTTAATGGTAAATATGCAAGACGAAAATTATTACATGAAGCAACAGAAACAATGAGAGGACAGCTAATGAACCCATTGGCGATATAGCACTGCCCATTTTATCGAACGAAAGACGAAATTGGACATTTTCAAAGAGAGTGAAAAATATAGGTGCGAGCTATGCATCAATCTTTAAAATGATTGTTCAATCGTAGCCGATATAAAAACCAAATTAAATAGAAAAAAAATCAAACCCATCCCCCAAAATGAAACTCTCTAGTCGTAGGCATCCCTATTCGGTTTCAAAAACAAAACTTGAACGTGTTGGCTTTCCGGTTACTGCTTCTACTAACTGTGCCACATCGCTTGAAGCCTCTCTAACATCAGTAAACTAACTAATAGTGGTCTGTATGTTTGAGAGGGGGTGGAGTGGGGGCGTTGGTTGAAGTGGAGTTGTTACCTGAGTTGATTGGCAACACTGTGTTTTGAGTTTTTGCAGATAAGGTAGAAGAAGTGTGCGACTGAGAATGCATGCCACCAATTGTGGTAGGAGACGCCCTCCCGATAGCCCTGTTTCACTGTCAGACTGAACTGCACCAGAGTATCCATGTCCAGATGCCACCTAAATCCAGAGGATGCCAGTAGACTACTTATGTTCACTTCCATCACATTACTATTTATTACGCCGTGAAGCGACAATTCTTTAGAGGCAACAAATCGTAACAGACGACAATTCTTAACAATCAGTTGAGGAACAAACACTAATTTATGCGCAATATTCCTTTCGTGCCGAACGTAAGCGCAGCGGAGCAAGCGTATTTTACTTCCTAAGAATTGTCACCTGTTACGAATTGTCGCCGTAACTTATTTCACAGCAAAATAATATTTACAATACAGTACCCCATCACAATCAGGGGATGTCAAATATTAATTCCAGCACAAAAAAAATCAAATGTCAATGGTTTGTAGCGAATTTTCACTTTATACGAATTGTTGCTATAAACGAATTGTCGCTTTATACGAATTTTGGCTTGTTACGAATTGTAGCTTGTTAAGAATTGTTCCCTGAAACTTTCACAAACGTTCAAAACACCGCTTCTAAAATTGTTTAAACTACGTGGAGTTGCAAACAGAATAAGGATGTTAGATAGATAGGAAGCGTGATTGGACTGACCTGGAAATGAATCCCAGTTCGTGGAACATGTTGAGCACACATCGCACTGTCTCGCAGTATGGAATCGTGAGGCGGGCATTGAACAGGAAGGAGTCTATGCCGGGCCACTTCTCACACACATTCTCCCTCTCCTCGCTCAGCAGTGCAGTCACTTCGTCCACAGACAGGTTCTTCATGTGGTACAGCATCAACTCATTCGTCAGCAGGATCTTCTTCTGCGCCTGCTGCACTTTCCGGTAAAGCAAAGACTGAAACACATTCTCAATTATAACTACACATTTTAACAAAGCACATAAATTATAACATAGAAGCACCGCAAATTATACGAGACATTAAAATCAACAACTGAACCACTTATTTACATTAATGGTAGACCAACTTTTCAAAGAAAAAATATTCTTTTTCTGAAAAACAACACGTCACAAAAAAATTCACTTCGAGCAAAATTAAACAACAAACTATATTTATTTATATTGAATTCATTTTTAATACTGTTTCTTGATCCCTCCAAGCGATAAAAAACTGGACTTTTTTGAGACTTCAAAACTTTGAAAAATCGCTTTCATGGACCTACAATCGCCGAATAATGTACGAATTGTATACAAAAATTGACCACAGAATTTTCAGTTCCACTTAGGTTGGAAAAAACTAAGTATAGCACAAGCTCCGTTCGTATAAAAAAATCGCGAAGATTTATACAAGGGCGGATCTAAGATTTTCTCGAGGGGGATGAGGGGATTTTCACTTTTTTCCACGTCGACCAAATTGATTTCCAGAGCACTCCCAGAAAACTACAAAAACTCTATTTAACCCAAAAAAATTTGCGCCTCAGGCAAATTTTTGATAAAACAAATAGGTCAAAAAGCCAATTTTGGGCACTTTTTAAACAATTTTGACTTTAAAAAATGCTTTTTTGTTTTATGGAGCGCGCTTCCCTTCAAAATTAGTATTTATTGGCGCCAACGGAGCCTTTAGAAAAGTTGTAGTGTTGGTCGGCCTAAAATTGATGATTCTAAATAATTATAAAATAATTTTATATATTTAATCAAGTAAGTATTATAATGCTAGTTTTAACGCAGATTCTAAATGGAGCTCCTCAACAATGCAATTCAACAACACAGCATAACAAGATAGCGGGTACAAAAAATGACGCAAGTCGAAAAGCAACTATTTGAAAAAGTAGGTCGAAAAATAACTACATCCACCAAAACTTCTTACGTTTATCTCGAATGATGTTAAATTTGAGTGAAACAAGTCTAGAAATACAATTGTTAGTACTGAAAACGCATTGAAAACCATTCATCCAGCGACAACTAAGCAACAAAATTAGAGTCGACGACCATTGAGCCGAAAACAAAATTTTTGTTATAGAAAATTGAGTTAAAAAATGTTTTGATAGTTTTACAACCCATCCCCCTGAAACACAAAAGGCATTCAAATCTATTTCGCTCTTCATAAACAGTATGGTGTTAGGTATAAAAATACTGAACACTACTCAAACTAAAATAACATAGCTAACAGATAGTTGGCAAAGTTTTGATAAACTTTAGGAAGCCGAAAAAACTTGATTGTTTAAAACGTTTGCAACTTTTGAAAAAAGTCAAACAAGGAAATCGAAGAGAGCGATTAACTTATTTTTAATCATTTTTCAACCAAGTTTTTATAATTCACCTTTTCCCATAAAATTAGGCAAACTTGAGAACACTATCAAAAGGTTATGCTTTCCGCTGGGACATCCAAAATTTAAATTCCACTTTCAAAACCAAATCATTTGCGTTTTTTCGCCTCAATTGCACATTCGTAATGGATAGTTTGTCTTCCTTTGAGCAAATGAAATTAAACTGAACTTAGAAAAAAACAAAAGTCAAACTGCGAAAAATCTAATTTGAGCGTGAACAACTTTTAAGACTTTTCCTGAAAAATTCAAAGGAAAAAAATCATAACGACCTATGTACGTGTGCTCACTACGTTCAATAACAGTGTGATTTCTAATTAACAAATTATTCTTCAGTACATGTTCAAGCAGTTTCTTACATGCGCTTTTCATTTTAGTCTGAGTTTTAACAATTTCGGCGAGACAGTTAAATTTTGAATTGATAATCTGCACGATGCGTGATGAATGCTATAAAAAAGCCAATTTTAACTATTAGCTTCGCAAGTACTTTCAAGAAATCATTACACTTAAACGAACCCAGCCAACTTCTAAAAATTGACCATTTGCAAAACATCAATCTCTGCGTTAGAAATTTAAAAAAAAATAAAAAGCTCGAAGAATCGTAATGTTACCGGTCGTTCTTACACTCAAAAAGAAAATCGTAAATGGAAAAACTCAGGAAACAGCAAAAAATCACATTTTTACCTGCCATCTTAAACTCAAAAAGGAGAACGAAAAATTGCTATATAGGCATGTGAAAGTCCGGAAATAAAAATAACAGTGAGATTTCGTTTGCCGTTTCCATAACCAAACGAAGACCAAATTTGAAGGATTTTACTGGTATTGGGAAATCTACAAGTCAACAAATCAAAATAATATCTCAATTTCACACGAAATTTCTATTTTTAAATCAAAAACGAATTTCAAGATATTTCAAGATGGAACTGAAAAATCAGGAAGTTAATAAATCAAATGTTAACTAAGTCATCGATCATGTTTGTGATAGAATGTGATAGAGTCAAGTTCAAGACAATTGCCAAAAGATTAGCAAGACTAAAATGAGTGAAAAGTCTGTTCTTTTATGCCTAAAAAGTCTACCTTCTGATTGCAACAGTAGCTAAGTTCAATGTAGCTAATAATAGATTTATGAATTAAAAAAGAGAACCAATTGCATTTCCCTCAAATCTAATCAATCTCCGACAATATGAGCATAATGAACATTTCATGAAGATTAATTCTGATTATGGTCTCTGTTATAAGTTTAGTGGTTGGTTTCTTACGTGGGCGATAGCAATTGCACAGTAGATGGAGAATGCCTTGGCGACCTCGACGTCCTCGGTGGAGAAGGAGTTGCCGGCTATTTTGTTGCACAGTTCGGCCACCCCGATCACCTGGTCGCCGTCTATGATTGGGAAGCAGAGGATGGCGCGGGTGCGGAAGCCCGTCTTCTGGTCCACACCCGTGAAGAACAGCGGGTGCTCGTACGCGTCCTTGATATTCAGAATCTCACCTGCACACAAATAACACATAATGAACACAACTTACGCACAGGGGCGAAGCGGAGCTTCGCACCACTTGAGATACAACACAATCAATAAAAAGCACGAGTAAAAAAACTGAAATGTTGAAAAAAACTAGATTAACCAAAATTTTCTTATACCTCGATGAAGGACACCTAGGGCTCAGCTAAATTTGGAGGCAAGCATTTAATATTTTTGAATTTGTAATATTGATGCGGGACGAAATGCGTTGTTTCAAAATTTAGACTTTGCACAAAACCTTAGTTGTTTCTCAACTAAAGTGAGAAGGGTGAAATATTTTGAGATTTTGGAATTTTCCCACAGACCTAGCCTTTTTTCTTACAGTAGCAGCAGGAAAAATCTCCCGCTTCTGCAAGAAATCCCGTAACCGCTTCTTTCGATTGAAATTGTCATTTCAAAAATTTGACTATTCCGAGGGCAATAATTTTGGGCAAAAAAATTTTGGGCATAACCGCTTATTGAGGAGTGCTTTTCAAAAAAATAGCGGTCAAACATTAAACTCCCCCCCCCCCCCCACTTTCGAAGAATGTAGACAAAAGGGGAAAACAAAAGAGACCAGGGGAGTATGCAGGTGCACAAAAATGTGGGCAGTCTTTCTATGTATACCCCTTTTTTGAAATTCAGTAGAAAGGTTTATGGTGAACTTTTTTTTTGCAAAAAGTATTAAAATTTTCTTAAGCTAAAAAAATAAAAAACCCTTACTTTCATAATACCTGTTTTTTTTAATCAAACAGGAGTTATAGGCAAACCTGCCAAACAAGGCATTGAAACTTAAATTAGCAACTGGACAAAACTTACGAAGCGGAAACAAGGCCGATAATCTTTGATCAGACACTAATTGAGCCGAGAAAAAACGTAATATGTAAAATTTTTTCTAAAAGTTTCAAGTCCCCCTAAAACTGCCGTAGTTAATATTACTCAGCCAGTAGTTCATTAAGCAATTTTGGTTGCTGCAGAATTAAATGCTGCAGAAATGATTCAATTGATTTTGTTAAACTAGTTGTTAACTAGAAAAAAGTATACATTCCAGTGTGATTACACATGAATGTCGCACGTTTTGCCCCTCACACATTTTGCCCTACATTTATTAGAAGACTTTTTAGGTTAGACAAAGCGCGCAGCGTTCAGGGCGAAATATGCGAAAAAACTAGAAGCGAACCCTGTGATTCATTCTTCACGTCCATCGAGGGAATTATCTTTCAACTTCCAAGCTAAAAAAAAACGCTCATTCTAAATGAAAAATATACACTCATTGAATAATGAAGCAAGCTTGTTACATTTCGAAAACCCAAAAATTAGACCATGTTAATGTTATTTCTAGATTGTCGGGCTAGTATTGACTATAAATTCGGTTTGGTTTGATGCTGACCTGTGGTTGCCACCTGACCCGCGATACCCTTGTCGATAGGGATGCGGATCTCATTGGTCGCCTCTCCCCCGTCAAACACTTTGGCCACCAACTGCTGTCTGTTCTCATTCACCAGAAACAACGAGCACCTAAACACACCCCCATGTATCTAAATTGAGTCAACAACTACTAAAATCTAAAGCCGGAAACGTCATAAATCCGATGAATTAAAACATATATATGTAACTCTTGAGTTAAAGCCACCCGTAAAGACTACCATTATTTCAAGGTATCTAACGAGACATATAAGAACAAAGTTTTCTTTTATTTCAATACATCAGAAAAGCCAAAGTTAGAACTGCAACTTCAATGATTGAGAGAGAGAGAGAGAGACTGACCTTTCAGCATTGCATAGATTGCGCGCCTCTTGCATCACCAACTTCAGCAATTCCGTCATGTCCTCTGAAACACAATTCAAATTGATTCATTGGTTAATTTTTGGAGACTGATTGAGATTCGCAGGAAGTCGTAATTTTGGGAAACACTCTCATTCCGACTGAATAAAAATTTGTTTTGCTGCAAAAAAAAACAATCCTTACAGTTTCGCTAGACAACTTTTCCATAGTGTTTATCAAAGTTTTTATCTGTTTCCATAGTCCGTCAATAGAGCTCGTCCAGACATCTGCAGGCCCGATAAAAAATCTCGGGTTCTTTTGATACGTTCTTAAGCCTCTTCTGTCAAATATTAAAACAACGGTTTAGTTTGTACCTAGTTGTGAGAATAGGTTCTTGGCCACGTTGAGCATGGTCTCCGTCTGGGTCTTGAGTCGCTTCTCTTTCTGGTAGGCGATGGTGCTGGTCAGCACTGTGGTCGTGTATCTGAAGGTGTTGTGTGCTTTGATCTCGTCCATCGCGTCGAAATCAGCAAACGCCACCGTCTGAGAGGCGCCACTTCCTACAGCAGCTGAACCTGTAACGAGCAGCACTGATAATTGCAGCAAAGAGGCAAAGTTGAACCCCAAGTACTCGAAATAATTCGAAGCTTCCAATAATTAAACAACGACGCTTGCTCATCCGAAGATCAAACCTGGTCCGATCTCAATACGATTGGGCTCTTTCAAATCCCGCACATTTGTCGTGAGTGGAAATCAGTCCACAATATGCATGAAAAGTAATCATTCAGTAAAATATTTTGATACATCATAAAACTGAAGACCGTTTGGTTCGGGAAAAGATCTTTGCTAACAAAGAAAACAAATGAAAAAATTAGACGGTGCAAATATGTGACTGGATAAGTACCTGTTGCTGAAGTGACGGATGATGTCGTTCCTGTGTGTGGCACACTGCTACTACTACTGTAATTGTTGTTTTGTGTGATGGTGTTGGTAGGTGTGTTTGTGTTAGAACTGTCTGCAGCAGAAGCGGCTGGTCTCCTCTTGTTGAAGGCGCAGAAGAGTGCGATCACGTGGCTCTGGTCACTCCGACTCTCCACCGGCATGCACAACATGTTGTGTAGCTCCACTCCAAAACACTTCTCCAGCTGTTCACGCTCAACCTACACAACAACACAACACAGACATTCAACATAGCCGACTGAATTGAAAATTATGAAATTTATTATTTCAACGTTATTGTAATTTTAGACCGCGCCACTAACTAAATCGCGATTCTTAACCAAAATGAATTCGATTTTTTTGGAAACCAACAGCTTCCGTTGCGATATCCTAGATCCTTCAGTCTTGCCCAGAGCCACATGCAAGAATGTTTCGCGTTATTTCCAAACAAATTAGGTCATTCAATTTTATTCATATCTTTTTTGCTTTTTGCTTTAGTGGACACCTTTCGAACGGTGTTGCAATGCGTTTGGTCGTAGTATATAAAGAATATCAACCTTTAAAACATCGTCATAATCATCAATAGAAAACAGTACATTATCAGCAGAGGCGGATCTAGGAATTTCTCAAGGGGAGCCGGATTTTCAAAAAGGGTTTTGTCGACCTTTTTTTAGGTCGACCAAATGATTTTCCGAGCGCTCCCTGGAAGCTATAAAGACCCTCTTTTAACAAAAAAAGACAGGATCAAGCTAAAATCCTCCCCCCTAAACGTATTTGAGGGGGAAGATGTTTACTTGATCCAAATCACATCGATGGAAAAAAGAAGAAGTAGAACTCACGGCTGTGATGTCAGAGAGGACAACTGGACACTTCTTGTGAATAGCAGTTCCAAAACTGTTCGTCGATATTGGGAAGAACAATTCACACTTGGGCCTGTTTGGTAGTGTAACGTGGGAGAAGATAGAATTGTCCTCCCCCACGAAGAACAGGATGCAATGCTGACAGTCCAGCTGTTCCTGCAGGAAGTGCAGTAGTTTCTGCTGTAGTCGCTCCCCGTCTCTGTCGTACAACTCCCCGCACAGTTTCAGGATCTTCTTGCTCTCGTAGTCCAACTCGGAGCTGGTGCTTGCCACCACTGAAGGTGTCTGCAGCTGGTTTAGTCTGTACCATGTAGCAGCTATCTACAACAACAAAAACACTTCATTACATCCATTCCGTCACTGAATCTTAAATCGTTAAATTGTCAAGAGTCACTGAATCTTAAATCGTCATATTAGTTGCCTTTTTTCATCAGAAGTCAATTTTTCTGACCATAAATTTGCAGACAGTAAATTTTATACGCCACAACTGTTTTCAATCAAAAAATTTTAACAAAAACTTGTTTTACAATTCCGATCAACTTGATCGAGTATTAACGAAGCACGCACTAGTTGACAATTAGTACACGCTCTTCAACTTAACTTGCTCAACTGGACAGAATTAAACTAGCTCATACGTGGTTTATCACATCGAGACATCGTTAAGGTCTTATGAAGTATTACTTCGATTCAGTAATAGTTTCCGCTAGGCAGAGTCCAATTCAAAAAACAGAATTTCTCTCAAATTAGAAGTCCGTTCTAGCACACGCAGGTTATTTGATTTTTTGTAAATTAAAACACGTTACATAAGAAGAAATCATATACAGCGTTGACTTCAAGTTCATCAAAATCATCATCATTCTTTGTTTAGACATTCCTTCTTGTTCAGGTGTTTCGTTAATGTCTGACGACTTTCTCCTTGAAATTTTCACTGTCAGTACCTTCATAAATCTGTAGGGTTGGTTTGTATATTTCTTAACTTTGCCACACAGAATCCCTTGCATTATACTTATTATATACGCTCTAATAGTTCTACAAGTGACTACTCACGTGTTTTTCGAGGTAGTCCAGATTCTCCTTAGAGTCATGGGTGAGTTCGTTGCAAATGACCACGAGGAACAGGATGGTCTTCTTCGTGTGTCTGTCCTGGATGGGGGAGCAGAGCACTTTGTTGCCCTCGGGCAGGATGAAGTGGTTGGACAGGGACAGCAGCTGACAGAGGGGGTCATGAGCGTCCAAGATGCGGAAGACCTTGCGCAGGCCAAGGTCCTTCGTCTGTCTGAAAACACACACCAGCACATATTACCTTTTTAAATAAGGCTAATCGTTTATTTCGTTCAAGTGTCTTTAGAATGGTCTTGTTGCTCTAAGCTTCAATCAAGTATAGGGATTGTTGGCTTTGTTTTGGTAGCTATAGTTCAGTACTTCTTAGGAAGGTTCTTCAGAAGTTGATGCATTTTCGTCTCGTCCAAGATCCAAACGTCACTATTCAAATAAGACTGCCACTCATGAATTCAGAGAGGAGCAAAACAGCGATTCTCCGGAGTACAGCTCAAAAATTGGCCTTTTCCCTCATTGACATATGGTTTTAAATAATCAGCTATCAGAACTGAATTAGATCTGAACTCCAAACGTATCTTTGGATGACATTCAATAATAAACACTCGAGTGTTTTAATGCATTATCTCATGCATTTTCTAGCCCAGAAAACTCTGGGTTCTGTGAACCCAGTGTTGAAATTAAGTCAAACCGGTAGCTATTATGTGTTTACAAATGGGATCTCTTTTGCACTATCCCTCCTACATTTGTTATTCAATTTTGAAACTTAATTTTAGTTTTTTTTTGAAATCAGCCCAGATGTGTAACCACGTGACGACGATGACAATAGGCGAGGGGGTGTGAAGTCTAGGAGTTGACGCTTACTTGCAGATGCCATATCCAGGCAGAGGGTGGTTGACAGACCCGGTAGAGACCAGTTTGTCAATGGATGCGTCATGACAGAACACCAACACCTCCGACTGAAATAACCACCCACGCACCATTACTTTATACTTATTCAAATCTTGTCGTTTTTAGGTTTCAGAAGTGAGTTAAGTTGTATTTTTGCTCATTTTGTGAATTGAGATGCAATTTCTTCACTCCTGTCCAAACTGTTTCTTTTGCCAGAAAAGTTCCTGTCCAAACTTTCACGAAATATTTTGATAACCTATTTTTGATGATATGCGATTTTGAATGATATGGAATTTTTGATGATGATATGAGAATTTTGATGATATGATAGAAACCCTTTCGAGTTGATCGACTTAACTCTTGGATTTCTCTTAGAACAACACAAAATCACTGCTTTGCAAAAAATTATGTGAGGGTCAAAATTTGCAACATAGGCGAAGCGGAGCAACACTTGCAGAAAAACGCAAGCATAAAATTGCAAGCTAGCGAAGAGAAAAAAAGACGGAAATCACGAACAACAAATAATTGAAAAAAAATTAAAACTACATCTACAAAGTTTGACACAACTGATTTTCAATTTCAGGAAAACTAAGCCAAGAAACGCAATCACCGGCAAATAATAAGCATTCAGCATCTTCAACCGAGCTGTGACATAGTCGACAATACCTGTTGACGTTTAAAAAAATTGAACTATCAACTTTTGAAACTTGAAAACCTCCGTCTCCCTCTCCCATATTACGAACCATAACAAAAGCATGAAAACATATTTTGCTTTTTAAACGACAAAATTTAAAAAAAACCAAGGTGACATAAAACAAGGATAGACGTTTGAAGTCTCAAGAAATAAAAACAATCAAAACAAGCGCAAACAACTTCATCATTTTCTGCAAAAACGTTTTTCAATTTTTTTTGAAAAAAAAAACTTCTGAAGGCACTGACAAAATCTTTAAAAACAATAATGGAAGGAAAACTGAATTTTCATAGCCTAATTTACTTGAATTATAAAAGCTCGTTCAACTCGTTCGAAAATCAACCTCAAAAAATTCAAATCTGTTTTTCTCGACACTTGAAGATCTTTTTGAAGTTATTAAAATGTCGTTCAAATCACGACTGAAAGAGTTTGATATGATGAATCACTCAATCCATCAAGATGGTTATTTGTGGTACCAGATTTTGGGTGGAAAACAAAAAAAAGAAACTAAACACACCCGAAGACTAAGTTCCTCAGCATTTTCAATGGTCGGAACAATAAGCTGAAACCATTTATCCGAAACAAAAAGAAAAAGAAGTTTATTCAAAATCAGAATTTGTAAAAAAGCAACTTAAAGAACGTCATTCAACTATAATTAAAATTATTTGAATCAGAAAAAATATCAAAATTTGGAAATTAAGCCGACAAAAAACAAGCAGACAAACGATAGTCGGGATTCAAACTCAGGACATTAGGATCAAAAACTCGCACTTCACCACTAGCCCAAAGTTAATGGGCCTGAGGTTGTTGAAGTGTCATAGTTCAGCAAGTCAAATTTCTCGCAGATTTGTAAAATTTGTTAACGGAAAAAGCTTAGTTCATGATTGCAAGGACACTTGCTCGCGCAAGTGAAAAAAGACTAATTCAAGAGAGAAGCGTAGCAGGGTTTCAAGTTCACCCCTGGTTGACATTGATCAGTTGAAGCCTTGAATACATATCTGTAATTCTAAATGGTAGTCACACTGAAGTGTACTTACGACGTTGTCTAAAATGAGGCGGAGTGTGTCAGAGATGATGTCGTAGAACTGTTCGAACGAGATGGCCTCACTTAGACGCAGACAGCCCTCCTGAAACACAACACATAACAACACTAATTGTAACTAACCACCATTAGACAGAACTGAACATTAACTTAGATCAAGCAAAACAACCTTCATACACGTAACAATGAGCCACAAAATCAGCTCAATTTAGATGACTTCTCGGCAGAAATAATGAATGCCCTACAGCAGTAAAAATGGCATACAGAAATAGAGTAGGAGCTTATCAAAGTTTACTTGAAAATGGCCCAGACTTATTTTGGCCCAGAGGAATTTTGTTTTTTCATTTGACGACGTAAACGTGCAGAGCGATGAACAATCACAATTTTTACGGACATCAACATACGCGGCCTCTCATCCACGTTAATTGTTCATTTGTGCCCACTAAATAAATACACTCAATACATTGGCAATTATTTCCCTAACAATTGTTTTTTGCAAGGTCATTAGAGGTTTTCAAAAACTGGAATTTTTTTGAAAAAAAACACGCCTTCTAGAACATTAAATTTGATGGAAAGACATAATTTACTTTTCTGTCTACAATCCGCAAAATCCGCTTTGAATTTGATAAAAAACAATTGAAACAAACGTTAATTTTAATTGACGCCAATTCACCATTCAAGGAGCGCTTCAAATGCCTAAGGCTGCATTTTATATACAAGACAATTTCACACTTGAAGGCCTCTTAACAAATGGCATTGGTGTTAATAAAAGGTAGAAATTTCCAAATTGTACAAAGTAGTCTTATTGCGTCATTCTTCTGTACTCATTTAGATTTAATACCCCGCACGTCACCGCAAGCGGAACTACTAAACGCCGTTTTATTAAATTTCTTCAAAGCCTAATTTATAATCTTCAGCCGCGCCTTGTGCGCATTCATTATCTTGACATTAAGTCATAGTTTAAGCGGAAAAAACTGACGTATTTTGTCGGACAACATGAAAAAATAGAAGCACTATTAGCACGAATTCAAAAATCATTGAAAAAAAAAACATGGTGCCTTGAAATCGGATCTTTTCTCTTTATTCTTCCAGGTTCAATAAGCAAAAAATATTAATCCTCTTATAGGAAGTATTTAGCGCTTTATCCCCAGCAGCGACCAGGGGAAGCTAAACATAATGCGGATTTAAGAACATCGGAGAGTTTGAACTATATGGACTTTACGAAATCTCTTTAGTTTGTATTGCACCACTTGCTTAAAGTAAAATTGTTTCTTTCTTTTAAAAATTTTTAAGAAAAGTATTACAAGGCAGGTCATATATTCTTATTCAGGAAATTGTGTAAGTATTTATAGGCAAAGCTGAATTTTTATACTAGCCACAAATAAAGCAGAAAACAGATGCTATGAAATTTCAATGCTACAGATCGTGATTATAGCAAAAATTCCTGCAAATAATGAACACTTTGCCATTAAATAATGAACTTTTATTTGCGAGTTAGGTTAGAAAAAAGGTTCATACTAATACGCCAACGCTCGCAAGCTCTATAGTTCAATCAGTTAAAGCGCTCAAAACAATTTTTTCTCAAATTTTTTAGATTCTAATTTGGCTTATTTTGTTATGTTAATGTCGCAAAACTTTTGTTGTTCCAGGTTATATTGCTCAATTGATTTGAAAGGACTAGAATATCTTTGTCAATGGGAGTATGATTTAAGTGAACGGAAGCAGTTCAGCATAGTAAGTGCAGTAGTATATCTATATAAATACAAATAGTAGCTAGTAATGCAAGGTTAAAGGGACTGTTCTGTATACCTCACCTCTAAGCCCTTCTTAGCCGCTTCGACGTTGTGTCCAGAACTAGTTCGCTCCAGTCGAAGTCGTTTGTCTCTGAAATCACAAAAATACACCATAATACCATATCTAACAATCTTCAAACCAAACTATAATCAACTCACTTCACTTTACTTTATTCCAGCTGACCGACCGACGCTAAGCTTCAAAGCTAAGCCCCCTCTTTCAACGACAAAACATTCACTAGTATCTTGATTTCAACTCTATAAGGCATTTGCAGTGCTAGGCATGTTGGCTTACGAGAGATCATTAAAGGACGATTTGCGTCATACAAGCTAGCGGAGAACCGCAAACAGAATTAACAATTGTCAATGAATTCGATAACTGCAAGCGCGAGTACACCAGCTGACAAAAAGCCTAACTCAATCATTGATAAAATTTTTTGGTTATTTTTTTGAAACAACCAAAAAAATTGCATGTAATTTAAAAACAAAGGCCTAAAAGCGGTTCACCATATTCAGCTAGACAACTCGCACTTTGGTCCTTTCCCTAAAAAGTTAGTAGTCTTAATAAATCTATGTTTTGTAAATAAAACTCTGCAACGACTAAATCTTGATTTTCCTTTAAAAAACTCTTGAGAACGAAAATTAAAAATAAGAGCTCAATCAAAATTGACTTCATTCAAAGCTGGAAACATCTGATTGTAAAGCCTTTAATACATCTAATGTATTAAGTTCAGTGCGAAACGAAATGCTGACGTTTAAAGTGCTTTATGGAAAAAATGCCTTAGAGGTCAAATATTATTTTTTAATCATATTTTTCTCCATATTTCTAATTTCATTGAAGTACGTTTTGATCACAATCTAATCTTACTTACTGTTACTCATATTTGCTTAAACAAGTCTGAAAACTAATTTATTCAAACTGGTTTTTCAGTGACCGGAGGTTTGTTCAAACTGATTCAAAAAAATAAACACAGTCGGTAAGCCAACATTGCATTCCATATAGCTACCTGGAATGGACACAGGAGCTGTTCCATTATTAATGAAATTTTGAAAATGAACCAAAATACTGGTTGTTCTTTCTCCTTTACATCAAGGCCACTATATATAATGAGCAGAACCAAGCTTGATAATCGGTCTCAAAGGTTCCCAAAAGCCTAGACCAGTAACGATTATTTTCTCAATACACGCTTAACTTACCCTTCCAATATTGATTAATGATCTGTATTAAGGACTGAGAAAGCTCTATTCTTAATGGATACTCCCAGGAGACGAACATATGTTATGGAAGAATAACATAGTCTAACCGCCCGAAAAGCCAAAAGTAATTTCTATCAGTATATCGGACAAATACACGCGCATTCCAGTTTAGACCCAGGGAGGTATGAATTTAAAATAACTCAAATTGGATATCGACACTGATCTTGGCTGAATTGTGAAACGAATCATGAACACAGAGGCAAAGCTGCACTTTGTATACACGCGAAAGCGAAAAACAGCCAAAATTGAGCTCTAAGAAACAAAAAAAACTGCAAAAATACTAAAATATGCCTCGAAAAAAAATGAATTATAAATTCAACATAAAAAAGATAACTCGATTCATGGCAAAGCCCTGAACGATGCGATTGCCCTTTAGCGCTTATGAATTACTTGATGATAAAACCTTTTTTGATGAACAATTAGCAAAACATTTGATGAAAAATTGGCAAGACTTTTTCAGAATTAACTTCTAGTAAAGAATAAATAGGACCGTATTTGCTTCGGTTCCCTTTGAATATTGTTTTGATATTCAGTCAGAGCCGGATAAAATCTCCACTTATGAGTTAACAGCACGAAATATATCACGCGTTAAAAACTGTTTTGATGTTTTCCGTATATTAGACTCAAAGACGCGAAATTTATGTTATGGTCAATTTTTTCTACAATTTTACAATAATTTAGATATTTTTACCTTTTATTTTTTCTACCTTGTATTACATTACAATGGTTTTTATACATCAACAAATTTCCGGAACTAAAAAAAAAGAAACTAAAGACTTTCAAACTAAAACCGTGATTTCCAACAAAAAACAGACTCCGTTCATTTACACAAATCAAATAATTTTGGAGCCATTCACACAGAGAAGAAGCTAAGCTTCGCGCCACTTGTGATACAACAATAATAGGATGAGATGACTGCACCATCATGGTAAAAAAAATAGCAAACAGAACTTAGATCGTTGTTACAGTTAAAGAAGGAAGTGGAAAACGAGAAAAACATTGAAAAACAAAAAGCATTTTTTTCGTGTTCTAATTTTTTAAAGTTTTTTGAAGAGGTCCTAGTGGGATTGAATTTGGGCATTCAAAAATTGTTTCCAGAGTTTTATCGATCTCAAAATTACTACATTTTAAAAATAAAAATCGATAAATAAGCCGACAGAATTGAAGCTGACATCCAATAAGCTGAGCTGAAACCAATAAGCTTTGGAAAAAAACCTCATGTAATGCCCACATAGGATCCACGATAGATATATCATTAGCGTATGCAAAGTAGACGACATAATTTGCAAACCAAACCGACAGAGCTTAAGTCGACGACCAGGAAGCCGAAAAATCATCGGCAGAAAATTAATTTCAAAACTCTGTTATTATACCTACAATAGTTTGAGTTCTAGATATAGCATGCAGTAGTAACTAGTACCCTAGCATGCGTTAGTTAAATTTGAATTTCCATGAAACTGAAAATGTCATCATCATAAGTGATTTAGTTAAGCTAGTTGTTAAACGGGTTAAACTAATTTAGTTAAACTAAATGTTTCAGGTTGACCAAATTGATCCTACGAGCTCAAGACCGTACTTTGAAGGAAAATAGTGCGCGGCAGGGAATTTTTTTCAGAAAAACATCAAAAATATGCGCTAAAATTAGACCAAACAAGTACCCTTTCGATTGAGGTTATAACTTATAACCTCAGTCGGAGCAGAATAAGTCTCAGCGAAAATTAGCAGATTACAATTTTAGTCTGTACTAATGAAAAATAAGCATCTATTTTTGACGGCGGCAAGACAATTTAGGAGATTGGCTTGTTTCCTTTCTTTCCTATTTATTTTGTTACTCTCATCGCCGTACTAGATGAAGTTCGATCTGTAATCAGACCTCGGAGACTAATTTGCTTGGGTTTTTCTCTTAGCTTCCCATCCTAATCAATCGCTGTGCTGCCTTGTTTCTTGTTCCCTTGGGCAGCAGGGCCAATTAACACTGAGCTCACACAATGCAAGCCACGTTACCCTGGCCCCGGGAAAAATCAATCATATTTAAAACAATATCCAACCGAACACACATCTCAAACACGGTGCAGTTGCTACCCTCATGTTAATAACACGGCATTAGGGGCGGATGGGAAATCCGGTCTATCAATTTAGTCGAGTAAAGTTTACTTCTTATCTTGGAGAAAAATAAGATTTTAGGCAAGATTTCAAGCTAGAATAACACTGACGCAATGTGTTTTTGAGGACACAAGCGAAAACTGAAGGACCCAAATCTGATGCCGTTAGCATTACTATTCGATAGCCTGTTTGCTTTCAGAGCAGGTGGAATGGGGGAGAATTCAAACAAAATTCGTTTTTTCCTCAGACCAAAAATTACTCAATTTTATCTCATATTGGTGAAAAATGGTTTAAAAAAATGCTCCATATCGTTACATGAAGACGTAGTCATATATTTTTAACAACCCTAGCATATGTGCTCAGCTGTCACTTCTTAGCCCAGGCGACTTTGAAGTTTACATTGACTTTAAATTTATGATCTTTCTGCGAAAGGCCTGAAAAAATAACAACGTTCAAGCATTTTAGGAAAAACTTCGTCTTAATTTCAAATCAGACGATTTCAATTAAGCACTAGTTGAAATTAAACTACCAAAAAAGGTTTAAAATAAACTAAATACACTTTTTGATTACAATTTGCGACTATAATTATCCGTTTCTTGCACCAATTTTGGACGAAATATTTTTGCTAGCTATATGTTTTCTCTATAAATTCTATAGAAACAGAAGTTCGTCGTCAGAATTTTCCTAATACGTTGAGGGTAAAAATGAATTGAGATCAAACTTGAAAACATTTTTATCATGCCTAATCAATGCGCACGCTTTAAAAGCGTTTCTCTTCGCAAAGCATATTATCTGGCACAAACACTGTTTCAAATTGAGCAGAGTCAAAATACACTTGCGATACAACACAAACATAGCAAGACACACAAAACGACAGAAAATGAGACGACAACGTCAAAAAATTGATCTACCACAATTTTCACCTCTGTATTAACTGTCTTAAATAAAGTTTCTCTCAACAAACCATGCTAACCAAGACAATTGACGGTTCTATTAGCATCGAAACAACTTACAAAAAAGGTGAAAAATCCGATAAATCTTGAGAAGACATACGCTTTGCAGAAAAATAACTAAAAAAATTGCTCTTAAAAGACTTACAATGAGGCCGTTAAGCCAATACAAAATAGGTCAAAACTATATAAAATAGGTCGAAACCTTTTAAGCCGAATAGAGATAAACAAAGACGAAAATAAACTGATCTACTGTAATCAGAGTTGATAAATAACAACCAACATAAAAAACAAATGTCGAATAGAACGAGCAAATACAATGCAAACATGCTTAAAACTTGGATTTGGAAAAGACCACCAACTTCAGCCCGCATGTAAACAAAGTTATTTACGTGAAAAAGTATCCTATCATATGCAACTTCCTTGCTTATCGCGAAGGCAATATACCCAACTATATGAAATTGAGTGGCACAGGCAAAACTCGGTTGAATGGAATTGAAACTAATCAAATAAGTGATAATCAAATAAACTACAAAAGGATTCATAAAAATACTAACTTCAGAATAAGTTAGAAAAAACATGACAAATAAATTTTTGTTCACCAGTTTTTTTTTCGCTATCGCTATTCCTCTACGAAAAGAAGTCATCAAAAAAATTTTTTAATAAATCAAACAAGCAGCGCTTAGTACCACTTTTGACAATCAGACTAATTGAACCGAAAGAAAATGAGAAAACATAAAAACGCACAACTTGAACATATGAAAATATGTTTAAAATAACG